AGAAAAACTAATATCTTATACTAACGCATGTATGTAGAATCTAGAAAAATGGTACAGATGAACCAGTTTGCAAGGCAGAAATAGAGACATAGATGGAGAGAACAAATGTATGGACACCAAGGGAGGAAAGTGGTGGGGGGAGAGTGGTGGTGGTGTGATGAATTGGGTGATTGGGATTGACATGTATACACTGATGTGTATAAAATAGATAACTAGTAAGAACCTGCTGTATAAAATAAAATTAATTTAAAAAAAATAATTGTAGGGCTTCCCTGGTGGCGCAGTGATTGAGAGTCCGCCTGCCGATGCAGGGGACGCGGGTTCGTGCCCCGGTCCGGGAAGATCCCACATGCCGCGGAGTGGCTGGGCCCTTGAGCCATGGCCGCTGAGCCTGCGCATCCGGAGCCTGTGCTCCGCAACGGGAGAGGCCACAACAGTGAGAGGCCCGCATACCGCAAAAAAAAAAAAAAAAAAAAAGAATTGTAAAGAATTCTTAAATACCGTTTACTTATACTTCCCCAATTTTATTGCTTTACCACGTCTGCTTTCTCTATAAAATAACATATTTTTCGTGAAAGGTACGAGCATGAGTTGCAGATGTGAGTCCTCTATACTCCCCAGTGCTTCAGTATCTCCAACAAGGTCATTCTATTATCTAGTGACCATAAAATTATCAAATTGAGGAAATTAACATAAATGTCATACTATTACCTAATACACAAAACTTATACAAATTTCATCAATTGCCCAGATAATGTCTAAGAAACAAAATTTGGGTTCGGTGTGCAATGCCCTGTCTCTTTAGCTCTTTTTTCACTGGAGCAGCCTTTCAGCCTTTTTCTTCTACAACCTCAACGTTTTTTAAAGTGCATGCCATTTTCATGGTAAATGGCCGTAACTTGTGTTTGCTAGATATTTCCTCACAATTTAGATTCAGGTTATGCATTTGGGGCAGGAATACTACAGAAATGACGTTGTGTCCTTCTCAGAGAATTACAGCAACAGTTCCCTGATATTTGTTTGTACCAGTAGTGGCAATATTAGTTTTGATTGCTTAATTAAGGTGGTAAATGCCAGATTTCTCTTTTTCCAACTGTAATTAATAAGTATCTTGTGGGCAGATGTTTTGAAACTAATAAAATAATCTCTCATAAAGCTGTCACTCAAAAAAAAAAAACCCAAAAAACTGTCACTCACCCAGTTTTAGCATTCACTAATGATTCTTGCCTAAAACAAGTATTACTGTGCTGGCTACCAAATGGTCGTTTCCTTTCGTATTTATTGATATTCAACTGTTTAAGAGTTTTCCCCTCTTCCCTAGTTGTTTATACATTTATATATCTATATATCATTATGGATATATGGATTGTTATTTTATTCTTTGGGTTGTAACCTGTTATCATTATTTATTTGGTCCCAGTTTTGGCCAGTGTGTTAGAGCTGCTTGCAGTGTCCTTCGGGGCTTGTTCTGTGGCCTAGCATGTGCTCTGTGTGGCACAAAGTTCCATGTGTGCTTGGGGAGTCTGCTGCAGTGGAGTAGAGCACTCCACATGTCTGCTAGGTCCAGCTGGTTTAGAGTGTTGTTCAAATTGCCTGTTTCCTTGCTGAATGTCATGGGTTGAATTGTTTCCCCCCGAAAAGAGATGTTGGAAACCTAAACCCCCACCTCAAAATCTGACCTTATTTAGAGACAGGGTCTTTACAGAGATAACTATGTTCAAATGAGGTCTTTAGCGTGGGCCCTGAACCAATAGGACTGGTATCCTTATAAAAAGGAGAAATTTGGACACAAAATAGACACACATAAGGAGAAAAATGATGTGAAGACACAATGGGAGAAGACGGAGACGTAGAAGTTGAAGAGAGAAGCCTGGAACAGATTCTCCCCTCACAGCCCTCAGGAGGAATCAACCCTGCTGGCACCTTGACTTCAGACTTGTAGCCTCCAGAACTATGAAAAATATAAAAAATAAATTTCTGTTACTTAAACCACTCATTTTGTAGTACTCTGTTACAGCAGCCCTTGCAAACAAATCAAGATTTTGGCTGGAAAACAGGGTGCTGCTTTAGCAAATACCTAAAAATGTGGAAGTGGCTTTGGAATTGGTAGAGGATGGAAGAGTTTTGAGGTACTTGATAGAAAAAGCCCAGATTGCCTTGAGGACACTGTTGGTAGAAATACGAATGTAAGGTAATACTGGTGAGGTGTCAGACAAAAATGAGGGACGTGTTATTGGAAATCAGAGAAAAGCGGCAGAGAACTTGGCTGACTTGTGTTCTAGTGTTTAATGGAAGGCAGAACTTGTGAGTGATGAACTTGGATATTTAGCTGAAGAGATTACTAAGCAAAGTGTTGAAGGCATGACTTAACTTCTTCTGAGAATGTATTGTTAAACATAAAGGAACTAGATCATGAAGATCTGGAAGACTCTCAGCTTACTCATATCACAAAAAACGAGAAAGCAAGCTCAGGAGAGAACACCAAGCATGTGGCCAGACGCTGCTTGTTCAAGAGATTATGGGTGTATGGCTTGTGAATCCAATTAATCATCTCAGCAGAAATGCTACCAACTTGGACTGAAGGGAACAGAGCAAGGTTGAAAGGAAGGAACTTTGTCAAACTTCTGAGATTCTACAGGCAGGAAACAGGCTGGAAACAGGCTGATAGAACCATCTAGCTGTGAACATAGGTTATCCTTAAAGCAAAGGGAAGAATGACCCTGAGGGCGGGGCCACTTCCTTGGTTCCAGAAGGTGAAGCCTTTTTAATTCCAGAGGGCTGGCCCACCATCCAGGGTTGAAGGGGCAGGGCCACCACCCCAGTGGGCTCAGAGGACAGAGTATTTAGCCAAAGAGGGTTATTCTCAAGCCTTAACATCTAATGGAATTCACCCTGCTAGTTTTTGGACTTGGTTGGGACTCATAACACCCTTTTTCCTGATGATTTCTTCCTTTTGGAATGGGAATGTCTATCCCATGCCTATCTGATTATTGTATTTTGGAAGCAGATAACTTATCTGGTGTCACAGATTCACAGATGAAGAGGAACATTGCCCCAGGATAAATCATATCCCAAGTCTCACCCATACCTGATTTAGATGAGATTATGGACTTAGAGTTGATGTTGGAGTGGACTAAGATTTGGGGGGATGTTGGGCAGGGGTGAATGTATTTTGTATGTGAAAAGCATATGAATTTGGTGGGGTGGGGAGGGGCAGGAAGGCAGACTGTTATGGGTTGAATTGCATCCTGTCAAAAAAGACGCTGGATTCCTAACCCCTAGTATCTCAGAATGTGAAGTTAATTAGAGACAGGGTCTTTACAGAGATAATCAAGTTTAAATTAGATCACAGGGTGAGAACTAAGCCAATATGACTGGTATCCTTACAAGAACAGGAAATTTGGACACAGAGCTGGTAACAGCGAGGCATGGGGTACTGCAAGAATAAGCTGCCTCCTACAAGGTATGGTTCACTTTTTCACTGAAGGGAAGGGCCTCTACATCAGGAGTTAGTGGGTTCTGTGGGTAATACCGTGTCTGCCTCAACCATTCAACTCTGCCACTGCAGTGCAAAAGCAGCCGGACAGCAACATACAGTCAGATTGTGTCTGCCTGTGGTCCAAGGAAACTTGATGGATGGACACTGATATTTGAATTTCAAATAATTTTCTCATTTCATAAAAGTTTGGATCTTTTTAATCATTTAAACATGTAAAAGCTTCCTACTTGCCATCCATACAAATATGGGCTGCAATCTGTATTTGGCCTGCAGTCTGTAGTTTGCCAACATCTAGGCCATATCCCCGAGTGAAGAGCATACAGTGCAAAGTATATCACGAGTTTGCTAGGCTGAGTCCTCGGATACTTCTCAGATATCGCTACTCCAATTATCAATTATCAAGAGACAACTTTTCTAATGCACGTTTACATAAGGGATAGTGTGCACTTAAGGTAGATGACTCTAATTCAGCAAGCCAACTGTGTATTTGGTTTCCACCATCTCCACGCTACAGCTCTGAGTAAGCAATTATTTCAGCAATGTCAAAGCGTGGCTGAGTTCAGTACTCTGCCTTGAGATGAGATTCCAGGCCTTCAAGTCTGTCCTTGTTGTGTTTAAGAGCCAATGTAACCAGAATGAGCCATCTCATCTCCTGCCCCAGATTTCCTCATTAATTTAAAACTCTTCTAGGACAATAGTTCCTCAGTATTCCCAGAATCTTACCAACAGGGGCCACAAGGTTCTTGGTGTACACAAGCAATAACGCTATTTCATACTATGTACTAAAAAGTATCCATCTTGGAATATACACAGGAATCTGAAAGACTTTCTTCTTGTCTCAGGAAAAAACCTAAACCACACACCCAGCTGTTCTTCAACAGTTTACTACCTACAGCTACTCCAGAACAATGACTTACCAGTTAAAGCCCTTCAGTGACAAGAAATAGGAACTCATTCTGCTTAACTTCAGCAGAAAACAATATTTATTGAAAAGATGAGGAAGCACACAGAAAACCAGGTTCAAAAGGGGCATTATCCAAAGTTATTCTGAGAAATCAAAACAGCAAGAACTAACTGATGGTCTCAGTAGAATTCTGGGACAAGAATGGGTTCCAATATTTCCCTGCTGGTTCATGGGAGACTGAAATCAAGATGCAAACTCCTGGAAAAGAGGCTCCCATTTCCCAACAACGGCAGAGTGCTCACCTGTGGCTAGTGGAAAGGACACCCTGAAAGACCCACCGCAAGGGTGCACACACACAGGAGGGGTATTTCTCCAGAGAGATCTAAGCCGCTCTTACCGATCAATGTGGAACAGACATTGAACTGGTAAATATAATCAATGTTCATTATGGTGAGTGCTCTTAGGAAGCACCCCTGTTAACAACTGCCAGACCCACTTGCTGGATAAGTAAATTCATTTGGAATGAGAACTGAATCCTTTCATTTATTAAAAACTATATTATTTTAGTTATATTGCTAAGAAATAAAGAGACAACACTGATCCTTAGCATTTAATGTGGAGAATATTAGAGGGTGTTATTCCACAAACTATCAAATATAACAAGTTACATTTTAAAATAAAATACCAAAAAATTTTAAAACACTATTCAGTGTTACTCAGGAAAGCCACACTCCATACCCCTTAACCTTCAGAGTATGTTCCTTGCCATTTTCCTGCTATTACTCTAGTTACATATTAAAATAAAAAACAACTTTACTCTCTACCAAGACTTTCTTCAGCACCACATCTGGAATGCGACTCCCCATGTAACACAGCTTCCACGGGAAGTGCTTTCCTGATTTATTAAAGTTACAAGCGTTTCTCAATATGAATTCCCCATGTTAAATCTTCATAATCAGGCTACCACTTCTGATACAGTTACTGCTCCGTACTCCTGCAACTATTCTCTTGTATATAAAGATTTGTATGACTTACTTCTGAAAGCTTTTGCACATTCATTCCAAATATGATTGGCCTCTCTCTCGTATGACTAATTTGATAAAAGAGTATTTTTAGGACTTCCTGCCTCTATTATCCTCTGAAGTCTCCTGTGGATCAGCTTCTGTGAGAACGCTTCTAACACCTACTCCGCTCTGATTTCTCACTTGTGAGTTTTTCGATGTATACGAAGCCCTGAATTCCAGCAGAAGGATTTCCCACATTCAGAGCATTTCCATGGCTTCTCTCCTGTATGAACTCTCTGATGTTCACTGAGAGATGACTTTTGAGTGAAGGCTTTCCCGCATTCACTGCATTTGTGGGGTTTTTCTCCTGAATGAGTCTTCTGGTGTATCTGAAGTGACGCCTTCCTAGGATAGGCTTTCTCACATTCGCTGCATTCATAGGGCTTCTCTGTTGAATGAGTTCTCTGATGTATAATTAGCTGTGATTTCCCACAAAAGGCTCTCTCACAGAAGCTACACTCATAGGGTCTCTCTCCTGTGTGTGCTCTCCGGTGTATAACGAGGTATGACTTGCTGCTGAAGGCTTTCCCACACTCACTGCACCCATAGGGCTTCTCTCCCGCGTGAGCTCTCAGATGCGCAGTGAGCTGTTCCTTCCTACCGAAGGCCTTCCCACATTCACTGCACTGATAAGGATTATTTCCTGTGTGAATTCCCTGGTGCACAACAAGTTGTGTCTTCATGCTGAAGGCCTTCCCGCAATCCCTGCACTGATAGGGCTTCTCTCCCGTGTGCATCCTGATGTGAACGAGGAGATACGACTTACTCCTGAAGGCTTTCCCACAGTCACTGCATTTATGGGGTTTCACTCCTGTGTGAGTTCTCTGGTGCACAATGAATGGGGACTTCAGACTAAAGGCTTTGCCACATTCACTGCATTCATAGGGTTTCACTCCTGTATGGCTTCTCTGGTGTAAAATCAGCTGTGATTTCCAGCTGTAGGCTTTCCCACATTCGCTGCAACCATAAGGTTTCCCTCCTGAGTGAATTTCCTGATGGACAATGAGCTGTGACCTGAATGAGAAGACTTTCCCACACTCGATACAGGAGTAGGGCTTCTCTCCTGTGTGGACTCTCTGATGAGCATTGAGGTTTGACTTGGCACTGAAGGCTCTCTCACATTTAGTGCATTCGTATGGTCTCTCTCCTGTATGAATTCTGAGATGTACAATGAGCTGTGATTTACAACGAAAAGCTTTCCCACATTCGTTACATACACAGTTTTTTTCTATACTATGAGTTCTTTGATGCTTAAGAAAATATGATTCATCACACCCATGAAACTGATCAGGATTCTGTCTTAGATAGCTTCTGGCTGAAGCTAAGTTTTGTGTCAAGCTTTTTCCATGTGTATTATATTTAAGGAGACTTTGTCTTGAAGAAATGTGGCTTTTGCTCAGATGAAGCTTTCCAAATGCATTACAAGCATAGCTTCTCTCAACACTTTCGAGTTCATCTTGATTTTTCTGGTACCATTCTTTCCAACCTTCTAGAAAAAAAAACAAAAAACACCATATATTTAAAATCATAACACAAACCGAATACAGAACTAAAGGGCTTTAGAGTGTTGTAATGAGTGTTTTTCTTTTGGTCCAGGCCTCTGACACACTGGTTTAAAAGAAATACTGGCCAAGTGCACACACATCACATAACCAAGCATGGGGGCAAGGGGAAGTGAATCAAACCAAAATAAGTCCCTTTACAGAAATGGGTAGCTGATTAGCAGTGATCAAAAATGTTTTTTTAAAAATAGAAGTTTAAAAAATTTAGCCTGCACTTAGAAGCCAATGCCAACTATTTATGCCAATTTTATTATTGCAGGAGTTTACTCATAAAGTTAATTCACAGGATACAGAATAGCTAGGCATGACATGTAGGTAGGTACAATGAGACATTAAAAGAGAGACTGAGTGAGCCATAAGGAAAGTAAGGCAAAAGCATTCCAAACAGAAGGAAGAGCAAGTGCAAAGCTCCTGGGGAAGGAACCTGTGTGGCATGGTTAAGGAACAGAACAAAGGTCAGGACAGCTGAGACCCCCTGAGTGAATAGAGTGAAGGCAGGAACCAGATTAGGCAAGGCCCCAGGAAAGAGTTTTCACCCAAAGGACTTTAATTAGAGGGGATCTCGATTTATCTTGTGCTTTTAAAAGATCAGTGGCCGTTATGTAAAAATGAATAGGAAAAGGGCAGAGAGACAAATGAAGAGCCACTGCAGCAGTCCAGGATGACAGGGTGGGGCTGGCTGTCCTTCTGGAGCTGAGCAACGTGGACATACTTGGAGAGAGAACTAAGAAAGGTACTAATGGACTGGATGTGAGAACCCAGAGGAGGGGAGGACTTAGTAACTCCTACATTTGAGACTTGAGAAGCAGGTGGTGCTGCTCTTTGAGACTGAAAACACTGAGAGAGAGACATGTTCGGAGGAAAAACAAAGGACTCTGTTTTGGATCTTATTACATTTGAGATCATAGTTAAGTATCCAAATGGAGAAGCAGGTAGGCAGTTAGACCTCAGTTCAGTGCTCAGTAAAAAGTAGGCATCAACAGCACATACAAGGTATTAAATGACGTTAGGGATAACGTCTTCTAGGGAACACGTGTTAATTAAAAGGGATGCCAAAACAGCCCTGGAGCAGAAGACATTTAAGGTTGGAGAGGAGATGCAGAGAGAATGGGAAAGTCCATCTGTGAGGCCCAAACAGTGTGAAGATGACAGTGATAGCAAGACAAGGGTTAAAGGAAAGGAACAGCAGCAGGGTGCAGTCTAGACAGCAGCCGTCCAGACAAAAGCATTCCAAACAGAAGGAACAGCAAGTACAAAGCTCCTGAGGAGGGAACCTGCGTGGCATGGTTAAGAAACAGAACAAAGGCCAGGACAGCTGAGACCCCCTGAGTGAACAGAGTGAAGGCAGGAACCAGATTAGGCAAGGCCCCGTACACACTGTCTGTGTGTCAGCACCCATCAGACACACAGCCTCAGTCACCCCCGTACACAACTGCTGTGCTGGGGGCCTCAGTAGATGTCCTGCTTTCTCAGGACTGCTTGCTAAACACTTTTCTCCCCAAAGTGGTGGGAAACCGGAGGAAGAAGAGCAATTTCAGAAGTGCCTTCCCATTTCTGCCACTGAGAATGCAGAGTGGGAAAGCCCAGGGGCACTCTCCTGCAAGCATATAAAGCTGGGACCAGAGCACACAAGGAAAGGAGAAGGAGGATGGTGATTCTGCTGTTACAACACTGGGAGGAAAAAAGCTTTGATTTTCAGGACAGAAGAGCCTTTCCACAGTTACAATATAGAAGAGAAGCCCAAACTTGGACAACTCAAAAGGGAAGAGTAAGCGGGGTCAGGGAAATAAAAGCAGGGTGATAAAAACCACCTAAGATACAGGTGAGACTAGGCTAGGTTTCAGAATTCTTTTAAGAAAAGAGCCCAAGGGACTTCCCTGGTGGTCCAGTGGTTAAGAATCTGCATGTACACTGCAGGGAGCATGGGTTCCATCCCTGGTCGGGGATCCAAGATCCCACGTGCTGTGCAGTGTGGCCAAAAAAAGAAAAAGAAAAGTGCCCAAGAAAGTAACAGTTGTAATTTCCAAGTGACTGGTGTGAGAAGAGAGAAGGAAGCAATGAAATCTCCTAAAACAGTCAAGGGGAGAGAATGAAATGAAAAACTATGGGTAAAGTCAAGGGACTTAACTGCAGAGGCAAGAGAGAAAACAAGGCCCATGACTACGGGAAGGAAGGCAGAGAAAAAAGGTGCCAGAAGGAAGGAAACTAACCCAGAAAGCAACCTCTCGGAGCCACGGGAGGAAACCGAGGGCCCCGTCCTTACCTGAGGACTCGCGGGCTCATCCCAAGTCCACCCGGTGGTTCAAGGACTTCAAAGAACAGTTTGCACACACAACACTCCCTCAGTGCCAGCCCCGGTTCACTCCAGACCTCCCCTCTCCATGGTTTCTGCTCACCCACCTGGACAGCTCTGACGGGAAACTTCCGCGTTTATTATCCATGGCTCTTCTCCTTGCTCCAACTTGAAGACTAAATCAGGTTTGGTACCATGATACCCTGTTTAGGGAAAATCACAAAGGATGTGGGCCAAACTGCTGGGGACTAGAAAAGGAAGCTACGAGCTCAGAAAGGAAGCAGCTCGTTTGCACTTGCGTGAAGATTACAATGAGGGGGTGAAGACAGAATAGGGACTAAGAACATATGACCTCCAGAGCTCAAGTCCATAATCATTAATTACTTCAGAGACCCCGGGATAGAACAACAAAAGAAAAAGTGGTGGCAACTTATGACTCACAACCTGAGCCGAAAAGAGAAGCTGTACTTACCCACAGACACCAGGTTACTATAGTTTTCCAGAGTCACATCCCGGTACAGGTGCTTCTGCGCAGAATCCAGTAACTGCCATTCTTCCCAGGTGAACTCCATAGATATATCCTTGAATGACGACAATCCCTGTAACAATACACACACCATTCCACAGGCTGCAATTATACTGGGAGACATGGAAAAGATGTAGAGGACCCAGGAAAGGAGAATGTCCCTCCACAGACTGCATCCTGAGCCCACCACTTGCTTTGAGAGAGAATTAAAAAATAATAATAATAAGTGAGCCTCCGTGTGCTAGATACTCTTTTGGGTCCTGAAGACTTCAGGATGAGGGAAGCCCACTCTGGCCTTCAGAAGCTTTTAGTCTTGTAGAGGGAAATGAACAGCTATGCATGCAGAAAAAATAAGGTGTTTCCAGTCTGATAAGAACCTATTCAGGGAGACCTTGCACGGGGTGGTGAGCACAACTCTAACTACAGGCACCAGACACACAAGGTCTGACCCTCCGGAAGTGCCTGCCGTCTGGCCGGCTGCTCAGCCCACCTGAGTCTCAGTGGGAGCGAGCACATGAAGAAAACATTCCAGGGACTTCCCTGGTGGCGCAGTGGTTAGGAATCTGCCTGCCAATGCAGGGGACACGGGTTCGAGCCCTGGTCCGGGAAGATCCCACATGCTGCGGAGCAGCTAAGCCCGTGCGCCACAACAACCAAACCTGCACTCTAGAGCCCACGAGCCACAACTACTGAGCCCACATGCCACAACTACTGAAGCCTGTGCACTCTAGGGCCCGTGTGCTGCAACTACTGAGCCCACATGCCACAACTACTGAAGCTGCGCTCCTAGAGCCCGTGCTCTGCAACGAGAGAAGCCACCACAATGAAAAGCCTGTGCACCGCAATGAAGACCCAACGCAGCCAAAAATAAACAATTTTTTTTAAAAAAGAAAGAAAGAAAAGAAAATGTGCCAAATAGGTGACTTCCCAGGCTTCTTCCAAGAAAATAGGGGTCCACAACTGAGTCAACCAGGGGACACCCAGCACAGACTGTGAACCTAAAGCCCAGGTCGCGGAGCCGCAGGACACAAGCCAGTGCGGGGGCGTCTGCTCCCCGAGGCGCACGGGTCCTACCAGGCGGCCCTGCGGCAGTGTCAGCCGTGCGGCCTGCATGACTGGTGCTTGATGCCTCTGAGAACTACCCAGTGTGCTCACAATAAATTCCTCTCACAGGACCAAAAGATAGCAGCAAGCCACAGACCCTCAGGGGATCATTCAATAAGTACTTATTAGGCACCAACCGTGGACACAGTCCCTGTCCTCAGTGGGTTTCCATTCCTGCAGGGGAGATGCCAGTAAACACACAGCCACCTAGCACGCAGGTGGTGACAGTGCTCTGACAGGCCTCCAGCAGCTTCATGGCAGAGAGGCGGGGAGGAAGACACAGGCGCTATCTCAGATGGGTCATCAGGAGCCCCCTGCTGAAGCGACATTTGGGCAGAAACACAAGCAGTGTGAGAACAAGCTCTGAGATTTCTTCGGGAAGAGCCTTCCACGCAGCATGAAAACAAAGGCACAGGCCTGCAGGGCTCAAGGACGTGGTAAGGACTTGGATTTCATTCCACAGGAGGAGAAGCCCCCGGAAGGCCTTGGACAGGGTGGCGCGCTCTGACCCCCACCTGAGAACATTCTGACTGCCACAGAGAGGGGAGGGGTCCTAGTTCCAGTGAAAGATGAAGGTCCCTGGGGCTGGAGTAAGAGCGCTGGGGTAAGGAGCCGTGGTTGGGTCCCAGGCATCCAGTGAAGCCAGAGGCAGAGACGCCCCGGTGGAGACGACAGCGCAGAGAGAGAGAGAAGGACGTCGAGGAGAAGGCAAGGATCTGGCCGAGCAAACGGAAGACACTGCCCTCTACAGGTTGGGAAGCCTGCAGGACGAGAAAGGGAGGGATGGGGGCTGAAGACAAGGAAGCAGCAGCTAGAGGAGCCCCGACTGACGCCCTAACAGGCTCCTCCCCAAGAACGCTGCCTGCAGCGAGGGGGACCCCGGGGAAGACACAGTGAGTGCAACTCTGGGGGAGCCTCAGAGGCCAGTGGAAATACAGGGTAGAGCCCTGTCACAGGCTCCAAGCGATCCCCGTTGTGCTGGGGACTGACCGCCAGATGACAGGAGCTTCCCATCCCAACCCACGAGGAACTCCCACAGGGACAAAAAGTGAAGTGGGAATAAAGAGAAGAGCCTCCCATCTCCCACAGCCTGAGTCGGGGAAGAAAAGGGGTTGGAGTGTAGCCTGGACTTTCCAACGCCTGGAAGTTAACTTACATCCAAATACTTGGCTCTTGCCAAGATGACTGCCAGGGCCGGGGAGAGACAGCTGACAGGGCGCGTCTGAGGTCGTGATGGAGAAAAATGAAGCCGTGACATCAAGCCCAGGGCATTCATGCAGGGGGAGGAGAAACAGGAAGCAAGGCCTGAGGCAGATGCCACAAGAGCAAACGCAGACCAAAGGGACAGGATGGAAGAAGAAAGGGGTAGAGCAGAGAGTGTATTTTATTTTAAGCCTTTTGCTATTTTTAAGCTTGATAAGAATAAAAACAAAATACAAAGGAAATACTACAAAAAATTTAATTGGGCAAGCATAATCAAGAAATGAGGAGACTTCCCTGGTGGTCCAGTGGTAAAGAATCCGCCTTCCAATACAGGGGAAGCGGGTTCGACCCTTGATTGGGGAACTAAGATCCCACATGCTGTGGGACAATTAAGCCCGAGCTCCACAACTACAGAGCCCGCGTGCCCTGAAGCCCTCGCACCACAACTAGAGAGAAGCCCGGGGGCTTCCCTGCTGGCACAGTGGTTAAGAATCCGCCTGCCAATGCAGGGGACATGGGTTCGAGCCCTGGTCGGGGAAGATCCCACATGCCACGGAGCAACTAAGCCCGTGTGCCACACCTGCTGAGCCTGCGCTCTAGAGCCCGTAAGCCACAACTACTGAGCCCGTGTGCCACAACTACTGAAGCCCGTGTGCCTAGAGCCTGTGCTCTGCAACAAGAGAAGCCACCGCAATGAGAAGCCCACGCACTGCAATGAAGAGTAGTCCCTGCTCCCCGCAACTAGAGAAAAGCCCTTGTGCAGCAGTGAAGACCCAACGCAGCCAAAAATGAATAAATAAATAAAATTAAAAAAAAAAAAGAGAAGCCCGCGTGCCACAAGGAAGAGCCTGCCCCACAATGAAAGATGCCGCAGCTAAGACCCGAAGCAGCCAAAAAAATAAAGAAAATAAATAAATTTTTAAAAAAGAAAAGAAAGAAAAGAGGGAATGACCAAGACAGGGTGCATAACTCTAAGATAGAAAAGAGATTTTAAAATTCATAAACGATCACTATAGACAAGCAGTTCTGCTATAATGTGATGTTACCAAAAAAAAAAAAAAAATCACCACTATGCAAAGTCTCCGGCTTATGGGAAGAGCAGGGTTGGCGTGTGACACCTTTGTAGCACACATGAAAAAAGAAAATCAGGAACCTTAATAAAAACAGTAGCAGTTTTATACATGTTTGATTTGAGAAATACATAAATACTACCATAAATATGGCACTGTACCTTGAAAAACGCCTGACGTTTGGGTGTCAGAAGGGCCGTAGGTTAGTATAAAGTGGTGAAAAGAGGCTTGCCTGAAATCAGTCAGGAAGCTCACATTGTTCCCTAAGATATCAATCATGTTGAAACAAATTTACATCCTTAAAGCAAACATGATAGCAGAACTGACTGTATTTACAAATTTCTTCCAGTAAATTTGAAAACTTAGAAGAAATGGAAAATTTCCTAGGAAAATAAAAGTAACCAAAATTTGCCTAGAAAGAATTAGGAAGACCAGACTGACTAGCCCATGGTCATAAAATAAACTGAAACAGCAATCAAAGGTATACCCTCTCCATAAACACAACAGTCCCACACTATCTTGAAAAGTAAGTTCTATCAGCATCCAAGGAACAGAAAATTTCTCCCATATCTAATCTGATGTAGAGCCAGGAAATGATAGGAAACCCATCACACAAAACCTGTATAACCCTACAGAGCAGGCAAGGACAGCACAAACTGTAGTCCAATCTCATTTATTAAAAATACCTAGATAAAGACACTAATAGAGTAAAACAAATCCTGTACATATATACATAGCAAACTATGAATGAAGTTTATCCAGAAATTTAAAGGACAGTCCAAACTTTAAAAAAAAAACACAACCGTATCAAAGAAATAAGTAACATTAGTACATTAATGGAGGACAATCATCTCAATAGATGAAATAAAGTACTATGAGGAAATTTAACGCTTTTAAAAATCGGAATTCAGTTTGTTACAGGTAAAAGTAATTTCCCTAAGCCTATTAAAAAAATCATACTTTGTGTGAAACTAAATCAGGAACAAGACACGGACGCTCACATCAACTCTGCTAGTCAGCACTGTCCCAGAGGACCCAGCACAGCAGGAACAAAGCAAAATGCCAGCGATAAACACTAAGCAAGAAGAAACTACTGTCATTATTTACAAACATCTGATTTTCTGACTAAAAAACCTAACAGAAACAGCTGGCATAACATGAGAACCGATAAGAAACATCGGCAGGGTGGCAGTTAAAAAATCAACATGTAACAGCTCTTTCATACATCAACAGTAACCAACTTGAAAATGTAATAAGAACCACAACAAATCTAGAAAGTACTCAGGAATAAAGCTTAAAAATAGAGAAAAACTTAACGAAAAATACACATGTGATAAAATACATAAATGCAGAGGCAAAGAAAACACAATAGCCCAGATATGGAAGCAACGTAAGTGTCCAGTGATAGATGAATGGATACAGAATATGTGCTACACACACACAAACACACACACACACACATACACGCGAACATTACTCAGCCATTAAGGAAAACCCAAAATCTTGCCATCTGTGACAACATGGATGGAACTAGAGGGTATTATGCTAAGTGAAATAAATCAGACAGAAATACAAATACCATATGACCTCACTTATATGTGGAATCTAAAAAATTAAATGAACAAATAAACAAAACAAAAACAGACTCATAGACACAGAGAGCAAAAAGGTGGTTGCCAGAGGTAGAGGGGTGAGTGAAATAGGTAAAGGGGATTAAGAGGTACAAACCTTCATTTATAAAATAAATTAGCCACAGGGATGCAGCATAAGGAATATGGTCAATAATACTGTAATAACTTTGTACTGGGACGATTACCAGCCTTGGGGCAGTGATCATTTCATAATGTATGTAAATGTCAAATCACTATGTAGTACACCTGAAGCTACCATAATATTGTATATCAACTAAATTTCAAACATTTTTATATTTTTTAAAAAAAGAAAAAAAAAACAGAGGCCTGAGTAATCGAGTAACATTTATGATAAGTAGACTCAATGTGGTATAAAGATATTCATTTTCAACAAATTAATTTATAAATTCAATGAATTCTCAATCAAAATGCTAAGAAGATATTTCTTTTCTAACACTTATTCACAATAAATAAAATCATACGTTTGGACTACCGCTGCTACAACTAAAAAATTAATGGTAAGTTACAATCCTCATGAACATCAGAGACCCACGGAAGCAAGGAGGACTAAATGAACCAAATTTCAGAGAGAGGAGAGCTCTTTCCAGGTGAGCTAAGAGCTGGCTGGCTGTTTACTTCGCCAAGGGCATTTGTCGAGCCTGAGAACAGGTGGGATGGGGTCAGCTGAGACAGAGGACGACACCAGGAGAAAGAGAAACCAGTGGAGCCTTCGATGTCCCCCTGGACAGCAGGCTGTCCCCCTAGGGCATTTGCTGAGTGCGGTCAGTACAGGAACTGGGCAGGAATGGCAGACTGACTCTCCCATAGTCTCAAGGCACTTAGGACACAAAGTACTGCGAGGGAGGAGCCTGCGATCGGCACACCCCGCTGAAAATACAGGTGAACCGAGTCGAACTAAAGCAGCACCCCAGCCCCAAACCAGCTCAATGTCTGTTTAGATGAGGTGATCAGTCACTCCCCAACTGCACAACAGAGGAGAGGGGAAAGAGGCTCTGGTAGAAAGTAACATTGAACTTCAGTCTCTGTGGCTGTTCCCTTTATACCAATTCATGTATACACACACACACACACACACACACACAAGTAAAGAGAGAATGACAGAGCTAATCTGGGGAATCTGAGTGAAGGGTGTTTTTTTTTTTTAATACAATACAGATTATTTTATACTATTCTTGTAACTTCTCTAGTTTTGAAATTATTTCAAAATAAAACATAAAATGTAATAAACTTTAGGGCTTTCCAGATGATCCTTTGCCTACTGAAAGGGCCCTACACAATCTGGCCTTGCTCTCGCACGCTCCCTCCCCATTCCTGCCGCACGCCTTCTTTCCACTAGACAGGGCACCTGCTGGTTCTCACCTTAAGGCCACTGACTTAGCTGCTTCCTGTTCTGTGCCCCCATCCTCCCATGATCATCCAGCTGTCATTCAGATTCTGCTTAAATGCTGCCTCAAGACAAGGATGCCAGTCTGAAGTAGCCACCCAGCCTCTCAGTGCATGAGCATTCACAACTTTCTTCATGATGTTCCCCTGGTATGTCTTACCATCTCCCATACCCTTCACGGGGTCATGGGCCCTGTCAGTCTTGTTCACCCCTGCATGCCCTAGAAAATTACCTGGCATAATAGTCAATAAAGGCTTGCTAAACACGTGCACTCAAAAACAAGGAAAGACTGTCTCCATTTGTTCAAGTCTTTTAGGTCTTAAGAGGCAATAAGAGCACAGGCTCTGAAGACACTCTGCATGGGTCTGAATCTCAGCTCTGCCACCCTCGTGTCCTTGTTTCCCTTACTAGTTTGGGACCTGGCAGGCTCCCCAGTTTCCTCAGCTGTAAAATGGGGACATACTTGCCTTACAGGGCCGTGAGGTGCTAATGACGTCACACACACAAAGTGGCTAGGCCAAGAGTGGTGCCTATTAATATTATTCAACAGTTGTGAAGTCTTCTTTTTTCAGGTCCTGTACCCTTATGGTCACTTATTTTATCTTTTCCAATTGCTATTGCAAATACGTTTTCTCTCGTTGTACTCTCTGTATAGTTATTGTTTAAAAGCAAAAAGTTCATTGATTTTGAGGTTAACTGTACCCCTCCGGCCGCCTCGGTGAAATCCCTTCTCCCCTGACACTCAAACTCTTCCTGTCACACTTGATCACCTAAAAAAGTGTCTATACTATTACTAATCGCTTCTCTACATCCTGCTGCCCACAGTCGCATGCAATCCCTTCGCCTCTCAGGAACTGACCACCTGCACCACCCCCGACATTCTCTCTGCTCTGGAAAAACTGCTTAAGACCCACACATTCGGAAGTCCAGGCGGCACCTTTCGGCCTCATGAAATACTTCTGAGGCATTTCGTATCATGGCTTCTAGGAAGCTCTCTTTTCCCAAATTTGCAGCGGAAGAAACCACTCTCCAAATGTTCTGTCACCTCCCTTGCACCCCAGCCCTTCGGCACCGCCGTCCTGGTTGCCCGAGTCCTCTACTGGTCCCTCCTAGGGCTCTCCTCGTCGTACCCTGCGCTCCCCCGAACACAGGCGCCTTTAATCTGCACATGTTAGTTGAAAACCCCTACCCAAGCCTACAGACCCGACGACAGGCACTGCGCTTCGAACACCTACAAGCCCGCTCGGCCCCTGGATACATCTTCCAACAGTGTTCTC